AGTCAATCGGAGGTTAATCTTGCTTCACTAATGCAAATGATGTTTTATTTCATATTCTGTAGTCTCATGCCAGTGAACAATGTTAAGAAGACTTTCAGGTGAACAGTTCAGTATTTCCTATTAATTAGCTAGACTGTGGCAGCCATAATGGATAATTTTACAGTTCTCATAATAACATAAAAGTGTCTGTCAATCAAACTAAGTGAAGCACAACACTGTGTTCATGCGAGCAGCTCATGAGTCTGTGTTTTCAGCGTCTCAGAGCAGCTTGAAGCAAACTGTCTGCTGAATTTAATGTACACTTGGGAACGCAACGTGAGCCACTGTGCCAGTTATGCTGTATTTTCACATTTGCATAATTTCCAACATTTTTTGTGGAAAGATGATTACAGTATTTCACTAGATTTGTAATAAGGCACTTTTGCAAACCTGTTTTCACATAAATAGCATTTTTGTTTGCCAAAATAAAAGAGTAACTCATGAAAGTGAAGAAATGTAGACATTATTATTGTAATTTTACTACAGTAAAGTAAAATAATGAGTACTTATGAAAATAAACTACCTTTGAAATAAATAAATAAAGATTTGATTGATTGATAGATAAATTTGATTGGCTCCTTAAAATCAACTAATACACTATCACTACTAAAAAGAGGTTTGAGTTCACCAGTCCAAGTCAATGCAAAGACACAAAATCCTGCAGGATATGTTAGCAGTGCAGTTTCACCTGTGCCACAGGTTCCAGGATCGCCTGTGGGCCATCAGCTACGTTACTCAATACGTGTAGGTTTGCAGTGTTCATGCTCTGCCCGCTTGGTAGCAGCACAGTCACCTGAGGCAACAGATAATGTTAGTGGTCAACATCAATGGCCATTCCCTAAAAGATAACATTTGCACCCCCATGCCATTGTTTATAAGGTTAAAAAAGAAAAGAAAATAACACACACGATAATGCTATGGAATGCCACACTACCTGTTGTGTTGTTCCATCTTGCTGAATGTAGGCCACTTGGGGCTGATCTGTAAACACTGCCTGAACAGGAACGAAAAAGTGCAGTAAACCTGAGTTACAGCAGGAGTACATATATAAATATCGTTCAGTCAGCCAGTAATTACCACAAAATAAACCCAACAAAGTGATCGATCTTGTACCACACTTGAAGGGGTTTATTTTGCAGTCTGATAACTGTCATCCAGCTACTTACAAAATACATACATAAATCATTAAATATTGAGTTGAAATTAGGAAGAAAGAAAACACAAAGTGAGATAAGTGGGATATGATACTAGCATAGCTTTGTAGGAAACTGGTCAATTACATGTTCAGCAAACTGTTGTGAAGAATGTTGTCACTGTCATGTATATATTTTAGGGCTGGGACGTGTTAATTTCTGGGATCAATATTTGCCATTTCATGTCTTTTCCCCACATCTTTGGGTAGCACTACAGAATATGATCACACTATCAGCTCCACAAGCAAGAGCAGCCAACTGATTCACCTTAACAAAGATGAATAAATACTGTAACAGACTAACTGCTTAATTTAAATTGTAATGCATTAAACTAATTGGACCTTATTAGGTGTTACCAACAAATGCCATTAAACAAATCATTAAAATAACAAATATTTATTACTCAAGATTCATTTAAGAAACCTGTAATTGATTAATTAGATTAAACAACAGCCCTAATATATATACAATTTCTGAAAAGTGAACCTGTCAAAATTGTGTCTTCACAAGCTGCTTTGTCTCTCATTTACTCTTCTACATTTCAACGATCATTATGAACTCTAACCCTGTTTGATGGCAGCGCCAAGGATTGAATCCGTACATCTTCGCAGTGTAGATGAACTCACCTGCGTTCCATCGGCTGGGTGTATGTACACCAGTGTGTGTTCGGCAGACTCGACGGAGGTGTAGGAGCTTCCGTCTGCAGTATATACAACCTGCTGCTGAGTGCGGTCAGACTGCTCTCCGCTGTACACGATCTGAGCCAGCGCACTGGTCTCAAAATGCACCTGCACACCCATAATGCTTTAATACTGAAAACAGGTGACCCTCGTGAAAACATGG